CATATATATATATATATACACGCCATTTTTTTTTCTTTTCTTTCATTTAAAAAGAAATCGCAACGACAATTCAACCGGCTGTGAAGACAATCTTGCAATCATGGCCAGCGGCGTATCTTATCAAATAGCAAATTTACTGGAAAAGGTAAACGTAAATTTGTTAAAAAAATCACATATTTCTATTTCATAATTTTGCTTTTCCTTCCTATTTATCATTCGTGCAAAATTTTGTTTATTGTAGACTTAACCTCATTGTTTTCTTTCTTTTTTTTATTTCTTTGAAATATTTTTCACAGATGTCTCATTGATTTAATTAAAATTTGATTTTTTTTCACTCATTCATTATTATTATTATGTGACATTGTTATTTTATTCTAATAGTTTGTATTTCATATTTAATTCTTTTTATTTCTTATATTTTTAAATTTATTATTACATCTCTCTCCCTCTCTCTCTCTCTCTCTCTCTTTCTATTATCGTTCTTACTTCATACATAATTTATTTTTCGCAGATGACATCCAACGATAAAGATTTTAGATTTATGGCAACTAATGATTTGATGAGTGAATTACAGAAGGATAGTATTAAATTAGATGATGATTCTGAGCGTAAGGTTGTCAAGATGTTACTTAAATTATTGGAAGACAAAAATGGAGAAGTACAGAATCTTGCTGTTAAATGGTATATATTAATAATATTAATGTGTTAAGTGCATCTTTTGGCTAGATTTCCGTTCAGACCACGATAATCCGTCAACCACAGGAAAACATAAGAATGTCTGTTACAGTCTGAACAGAAAGTATACCATTAGTCGTTAGTAACTAACGTGATGCTTAACACATTAATAACTTATTTATTCTTTCAAAAGTTCATGAATATTATAAGCATATTAATAATTTCAGTTTGGGTCCACTAGTCAATAAAGTAAAGGAATATCAAGTAGAAGTTATTGTCGATGCTTTATGCAGTAATATGGTATCCGATAAGGAACAACTAAGGGATATTTGCAGTATTGGCTTGAAGACTGTCATTTCTGAACTTCCATTAGGATCCAGCTCATTGGTTGCTAATGTATGCAAACGCATTACTGGAAGATTAAGTAGTGCTATCGAAAAGGTATATATTATTTAATCGTATTTATCATATTTAAAAAAACACAAATAAATAAATATGCTACTTACATAATATATAATTTAATTTCAGCAAGAAGATGTATCCGTTCAACTGGAGGCGCTTGATATTGTAGCAGACTTATTGTCTCGGTTTGGAGCTTTATTGGTGACCTTTCATTCAACTATTTTAACTGCATTATTACCACAACTATCTTCCCCACGTCAAGCAGTTCGTAAACGTACCATAGTAGCATTGAGTCATCTTTTAACATCGAGCAATAATTATTTATACAACAAACTTTTGGACCACCTCCTCGAAGGACTTTCATCGCAAACAGTCAAAAGTGTAATCAGGACATATATTCAGTGTATTGCATCGATTTGGTAAATAATATTTCTTTGTCTATTTATTTATAAAAAGAAAAAAAATATAAAAAATATTTTTTAATTCTTTGATTATAGTCGTCAAGCTGGACATAGGTTTGGCGAACAAATAGAACGAGTTATGCCATTGATAGTAGGATATAGTAACGAGGACGACGATGAACTTAGGGAATATTGTTTGCAGGCATTTGAAGCTTTTGTATATAGATGTCCTAAAGAAATAACACCGCATATTAATGAGGTAAATAAAACAGGATGATTATGATGATGATAATTATAATTATTATTATTATTACATTTTTTCCTTCTTTTTTCTATCATTTTATCTATAAATTTCATATTATATTTTTCGTTTAGATTATAAAAATCTGTTTGATATATATTGTATATGATCCTAATTACAATTACGACGACGATATGAACGATCTTTCTGATGGGGAAGCTGTTATGGAAGTAGAAGAAGATGGAGAGGATGATGCAGAAGATGAGTACTCAGATGACGATGATATGAGCTGGAAAGTACGTAGAGCAGCTGCTAAATGTTTAGAAGCCGTAGTATCCAGTAGAAGAGAACTCCTACCTGAGCTTTACAGAATTGTATCTCCAGCATTAATTTCTAGATTCAAAGGTAAGCATTTTTAACCTTTTGATCGCAAAATGAATAATTTTTGATAGACCTACATATACGTCCATAACATTTAAAGGGTCAAATCGATAAGTTAACAAATATACACATTTTTTTTCTAAAATATATATTAATTTGAATGAAATTTTCTTTGAATATTATATAGAAAGGGAAGAAAATGTTAAATCAGACATATTCCATGCCTACGTCGCTTTGTTAAGACAAACAAGACCTGCAACTGGCGTACCACTTGACCCAGACGCAATGGAAGATGACGATGGTAGTCCTGTATCTTTGTTGCAACAACAAGTACCTTTTATTGTCAAAGCTGTACACCGTCAGATGAAAGAGAAAAGCATCAAAACTCGACAAGATTGTTTTTCTTTGCTAAAAGAATTAGTTCTTGTATTACCTGGTGCTCTGGCGAATCATATACCAGCATTAATACCAGGCATACAATATTCCTTAGGAGATAAAAATTCTTCTTCTAATATGAAAATCGATACGTTAGCCTTTGTACATACACTTTTGGTAACTCATCAACCTGAAGCATTTCATGCTCATATGGCAGTTTTGGCTCCTCCGATTATATCAGCTGTAGGAGATCCATTTTATAAAATCACTGCAGAAGCATTATTAGTGTTACAACAACTTGTACAAGTTATTAGACCTCATGGTAAGTAAATCGTTTAGAGAATTTAAATTCCTACGACCAATAGCATAAGATTATGATTGTTCTTTTTCTTTTTCAGGCAGAACATGTTATTACAATTTCCCTACATTGTCTTCTGACATTTATCAATGTACATTAACAAGGTTACGAACAGCGGACATAGATCAAGAAGTCAAAGAAAGAGCCATCGCTTGTATGGGACAAATTCTTGCACATTTCGGTGATACATTGTCTGGTGAATTACATATATGCCTTCCTATATTTTTGGATAGACTACACAATGAAATCACACGTCTCACAACTGTTAAAGCATTAACTTGTATAGCCGCTTCACCTTTAAGAGTGGATCTAAAACCAATAATGGTACGTATTTTATAACTTGTCTTATAAATTAGAATAAGTTATTAAAAATGTACAACATTGTTATTTAGGAAGATGCAATCCCTATTCTTGGATCATTTTTAAGAAAAAATCAGAGAGCTTTAAAATTGTGTTCCTTACCACTTTTGGATACTTTAGTACGCAATTATAGTTCTGCTCTACACTTTGATCTACTAGACACGGTAATTATATTTTAAATATATACACCATCTTTTTGTTATATTTAATAAAAATTGATATATATTTTGTATATTCCTAGGTTACAACAGAATTACCTGCTCTGTTAAATGAGACTGATTTACACATTGCACAGCTAACACTTAATTTACTGACTACAATCGCTAAATTACACCCGGGTTCATTAACAAGAGTTTCAGATAATATTTTACCCGAGATATTAGTGTTGGTTAAATCACCACTCCTTCAAGGTAAGAATTATACACATTTAATTCATTAAATCATATTCTTATAAAGAATTGATGTTTATCAGGTGTTGCATTAAGTTCTATGCTTGAGTTCTTCCAAGCATTAGTACAAGCTGATATACCGGGTCTTGGTTATCGTGAGTTGCTCACGATGTTAGTAGCACCAGTTAATCAATCCGTGTTACACAAACAAGCTTATCATTCATTGGCTAAATGCGCTGCTGCATTAACAGTCACTTGCCAGCAAGAAGCTCAAGTTGTTGTTGAACAATTTTTAAATGATGTTAAAGAACCCCAGAATGACGCGCAACACATTTTTGCGTTACTAGTTATCGGAGAAATCGGTAAACATGTGTAAGTTACAAAGAAACTACAATTTTTTCTTGCATTATCGAATAAGTACTCTTTCATTATTTCCGTGTACTTTTGATTACAGAGACTTAAGCAGAATTGGCGAATTGAAAGCAACAATCTTGTCGTCTTTCTCATCTCATTCCGAAGAAGTCAAATCAGCGGCTAGTTATACTTTAGGAAATATAGCTGTTGGTAATCTTCCAGAATATTTACCATTCGTACTAAAAGAAATAGAAGCGCAACC